CTACTGAAGTAGATAGGGGCCTCAAACCCAGTAGGTGTTAGTCCTAAGCTTCTCCAGGCCATAGAGTCTTCAGCTTGCATTGCCTGAGTTGGTTGTTCACAAGTGAAGTCACCATACATCCTCACACAGACTTAAAAAGAGCAGTTGCTTTTCTGCTGCATCTGCAGAGCAGGTGGTTGAGGAGGGATGCTGAAAGAAGTGCTGCCTTTACTGCCCAGCTACTGGCCTCAGCAGGTCACCTCATGTTGGTGCTGTCACCAGCAGTTCCTGAGCAGATCAGCAGCATGTTACGGCCCAGCTGCAAGAAAGGAGTTCCTGGGTAAGGAAATGGTGACAAAACGCTTTTTTCCTGTTCGAGATACAACACACCTTTTGCACTCATCTCATCAATTCTGTATTGCAAGAATTCCTCTGAACTTTGCACGCCGAAGGGGTTTATCAAATATTGTTTAGGAAAATGTTTTGTTTGCTGTTTTTGACGATATGGGACTTCTTATGGAATATATTTATATATATAATATTTAATTACCGTGGGAAAGAAAATGTTCTTGCAAGCAGCTCAGCCCCAGAGTGATTCCCCTAGGCTCCATCCTCCTTTCAGTGATGAAACTCAGTTGATTTAAAGTGGGACGCTTTCCTTTCGTGGAGGAAGTCACACAAGACTACTCTGCTAACTTTGAAAAGTGCTGTCTTTTGTTATCTCGCTATTTCCATTAAAAAGTTATCCTAATTGAATCGCTCTACCTTTTGAGAGATTAATTACATTAAAAAGGCCTGGTGTTGCCAACAAAACAGCAAAATGCTTTTTTAACGTACAGTGGAAATCAATTATCCAGTATCTGTGGATATAACTGAAAGAATATTACTATAGTTTCGTTTTGTTTTCTTGAGGGGAAGAAAGACTAATTGTTTTTTAAACGAAACGTTAAGTAGCACAGCTTACCAAGAAGTATAACGACAGACTGGTTTGATGTGTGTTGCACAGCTGGAATTAGAAACACACACACACACACACACAAAGAAACCACAGAGCTATTAAGCTGAGACAGTAAAGTAGCAGTGAAATTGGCCTGGCTTTTCTTTTTCCACTTAAAGAAATTATTCACTTGGATAAACAGTATAGTCTTTGCACATAAATAAACAATTTTAAAACAACAGCAAAACAAACACAAATAAAGAAACAGAACAAGGAAGTAGGAAAGAAAGTAAGCCAAACAAAAGAGTGAGAACACGGGGATCATTAAGTGTGTGATTTCAAACAAAAATGCTGTTAATTAAGGGCAACGCCCAGCAGCAGGAATCTGGGAAAGAGGTTGAAACAAGAAACAAATATCACGTCCTTCAAGTTTAATTAATTTCTTTGGACAAAATTCAAATAAGCATGAAAAAAAGAAAAAAAAAAAAAAAAAGAAAAAAAAAAAAGGAACTTAAATAGCCAAAGAAAGAAAAATGTTAGAAGCAAGAGTTTATAAAAATGCAAAAAGTGGTATGTTTTCTCCTGAAAAACTATAACTAGAACCTGACAGGTTAGGAGAATGAAGTTTAAACCCTTACGTATCTAAACAAAGGGGCCCTTTGAAAGTGTTTGTAGCAGCTGCACCACGGCTGCCTCTTCATGCGGCACAAAGTCATTTCATGGCAGCATACTCAGAAAAGTGGTATCTGTCTGTAGAAAATATGTGTTTTTTCCATGCATTTTAGTTGCCTGGGTCATCACTGTCTGACCATACCCCCAGCAAAGCTCTTCCCATCAGTTCAGCAATGCCCTCAAGCCTGTTTGCAGCTGGAAACAGGACCGGTGTAACCTGAGAACAGTTGCACAGTGAAGTGCCCCTGGCAGAGCAAATCCCTGCCAGGACTTACTGAAAAAAGCAAAGGCAAAAGAAATTAGTCAAAGCTAAAGAATATGCCTTCCCTTCCCACTGCGTTTGCTTTTTTTATTTCCCCCAAAGATTAAAGTCTTCCAGTTTTTCGTGCACTAGCCCACCCCTTCAGCCCAAATTCATCCTACAGCTGTAACCAACTCATGAAAATGGGTCAACTATGGACTAATGTATTTTTAACCTTTTTTTTTTTTTTTTTGCTTTAACATTTCCTGAGTTTTCCAACCAGGTGTCTGACTCCCTTCTATTCCTATGCCTTCTCTCCTCCTTCCACCCCTAACACTTTCCATCACTCCCTAATGAATCCCTCCAGTCACCAGACACTTCCCCATCTCTGTGTTTGGAGCCGAATTTCCTTTTCTGGCCCCAGCAGTAGTGTTACTGCCCACAAGGTTTTAAGAGCTCTTCCCATTGTGAGAAATGGGCTAAAAGCTGCCAGGGAAGTAAGCAGCCAGAGTGTGGGATATAAATGAATTCAGAAGCTCCAGATGTAGCAGAGGTGCTGTAGATTGCAGGAGGAAGGAAAGAGAGAGTTTGTGTGAGCAGACACAGCAAACTTGTTTATGGTGAGTGCAAACCATGTCTTAATGAAAGTGGGCTTCCTATAAAGACTGACCAGTTTCCTACTGAGCATCCTCTGTGGGTATTTTGGGCAGAATTTCATTATGCCTATTAAAATATTTATAAAACAGCTTTTTTTTTTTTTTTTTTTTTTTTTTTTTTTTCCTTCAAAGGACATCTTTTAAAGATGCAAAAAGAATAACTTTGACAATTATGCCATTGTGTCTGACTGTGTACAACCACCCCTTAGACAGGTTAGCTGCATAAGTGAGTGCATTATGCATTAACTGCACAAATGAGTGCCCAGTTTGGCCATCGTCCCTCCTGGGTGCTCCTGTCTTCTGTAGGACCTAAGGATACTCAGTTTCATGGAGCATTTGACTGAAAATATAAAGTGCTGATAATAAGAAAATATGAATGCAAATATAATTTTCTTGCCTTGAAAAAAATAATAGTTTAGTAAATTGCCCTGAAGATTGTTAACCAGCTTTTTAGAAGTGTTTATTTGTATTTGTTATTGTGCACTCTGAGGGGAGAATTAAACATCTGAATAATGACACATCTACATTTTAAAGAACGTCGCAGTGGTCGTATCTCTTTTGTAGGTATGCTCACAGTCTTCTAGAGAAGATATTTTATCTCTGTCTTGTTTATCTGTGTTGTTTTTGACCTACTGCCTGGCTAATACACCACTTGAGGAGATTCTGAGCCAAACACAGTGCTCATGTGCGCAGATGCAGTGACACTGAAGTTGGTTGTGAGTAAATCCTCTCAGTCTCCTCATGAAAAACATTAGCTTGACAATGACCAGTTACAAAATACATATTTGTTTTACTTCAAGTCTCTCTCACGGAAACCAGATTTATACTGAGATAATTTCAGTGAGTTCAGCAGAATTGTTCTGAACTCGCTCTGGGATTACAAACACCAACATACATCTTTTTAAAGAGTACCTTTTTAGCACAAACACTTCAGAGAATTAAAAAATAGTGGAGAAGGATCACATTGTTTTAGAAAAATTGTGAAATCTTGAACTTTCTAAAAGGTGAGGGGAAGTAAGATTGGCACTGAAATAGACTTAGTGGAATAAGTTTGATGTAGTAAGTGATATCTTTTAGCTTCACAACTATTCTGTCCAGCAGAGCTCTCAGTTGTACACTAAAGAAACTACTCCGAAAGTAAGAAAGAATGAGAACATTGCATCAATCCAGTAATTCTGCATCTTTATCAGGATAAAATTACTGTTTAATACATTTCAGCCAAAATTGTGAAAATCACTACATGTTTGTTGTATAAGCCGGAACACATTCAGGCACTTCTGATGTTCCAGGAAAAAAAAAAAAAAAGCAACATTATTCCCTATAGAAAGGAGGGGGTTTCTCAGCCCATGAATTGGAACCTCCAAAAGCAGAAGCAGCTTCACCAGTAATGTGAGAATAAGTGCAAGAGAGACTGATGGAGGCACAGTTCCATGTGTGTGCCCTCCAGCTCACTACAGACTTCACTGTGGGCCAGACCAAGATGTCCATTCTCTGCCTGACCCTAAGTACACGAGGGTTTCCCATTCACTTTTGGAGCTGCCAGACCCTCCTTAAAGAACAGGTTTTTGTGTCAATCAGGCAGATCCGTGGGACTTGTGGGTTGCTTTTTGTCTTCAGTTTTGCAGATGAAATACAACTCTATGTTTTTGTCTTTTCCAGTTTGGCTAGGAGGGTTGACTGTCTCCCCTGGCATGTGAGGCTGGGGCCTGGAGGAAGGCCAGCTGGCTGCAGAGCCATCCAGATAAGACCGCGTCGCTGGTAATAACATGGGGAAAACAATCAGGAGTTATGGTAGGGATAATATCTGCCACTTTGCAAGGGTGTGTACCCATTTATTACTCATGTTCACAGCTTGGGTTAGCTTTTCACTTCTTGCTGTATAGCTGGAATTCAGCACTAATTGAGAAGGACGTTTTCCCTCACATTTATCTCTGGTTACCTTTTCTCCAAAGCAGACCTCATTCCCATGATTCATCCATGCATCACCTCCAGACTCACCACCGCCTCACCCACCCTCACCACAGCCCTGTCTTGGACGATCATGGCAGCTGGCTCAAGATGCAGAGATCTGCTTGTGGCTTACGCTGGGCACAAGGTGCTGGCATAGGCTTGCATTTGTAAAGCTCGCAGCATCCTGAGGCTGGCCCAGCTGCAAGGATGGATCCCGTGCCCTGCACCATGTACAAGAGTGAGCTGCATGCAGAGACCAGGGGAGCAGGGCCGCTCACATTCCTTCCTACCACAGGGGTCCATGGCTGCCACATGCAGGACATGGGATGTTTTTCTCTTTACACACTTGGAAAAGAGGCCAGATCTCTTCCTTCCCTTCAGAAAAAGGGCCTGTTTTGATCTTTTCCTACCTGGGACATAGGAAGAGCTTCTGCTGCTCATCTGCCTCTGCATTTCAATCTACGCTGTTTGAAACTGGGGATCTGGAGAAGCTACAGCTTCATATTGTTACTGCAAGTCTAAACACATTTTGAAAAGATAGCAGACCAAGTACAGGGCCATTTTTTGAAGTCTTTATTCATCTTTTCTGGCTGAAAGAAGCTTCCTCACTGATGTCTCCCAGACTTAGGCAGTAAAATGGCAACTGAATAAGGGCTGTAGAATATGGCCCACTGATCTTCACCCTGGCAGAAAGAGCAGAACACAGCAATCAATCACAGTTTGATACCCGGGCTTATAAAAAGCTTACTGGAATACTGCGTGTAAATGTATAATGCATCTGTGATTCTGAAGCCAACACATTTTCTCCCTGCTCTATGGAAATTGCCTTGGTTAGACCATAAGGTTACGCTGCTCTTTGTGTGGTATAAAGAATATCAATACTAAAAGAATTTATGTATTATCCAAGAAATTCTTAATAAAGTGTGTGTTCTCTTGCTATTGCTTCTGTTCTTTATGAGCAGATACAAGGAGTGATAAAATTTCATCTAAGATCATACACCAAAGGCAGATTGCTAACTCTAACTTCCTTGCATAGGCTGAGCTCTGGAAGAAGGAGCTTTTAATGGTTTGATATAGTGAGTGATGTTAGCCTGCTCAGATATCTGGGCTCAGCACACCCTCTTACACCCCAAATGGCAGAATAAATTAATCATGCTTCAGCCTGCTACATGGTATTCGGGGGGCATAACTATAAATTAAGCTTTTCTCTACTCCAGAACAATTCCTCCTCCATAATGCTGATAAGTACTACCTTTTCCAAGCTCTGTGGAGATAAGTAAACCCCGTTCGCCGTCTTACCGCACACAGACTTTGGAGGTCTGCCTTGATGGGTGGAGGTTTTCTGCATATTTTGAACTGCTTGTGCTTCTCTTCCCTTCCATGTATGGAGATGGCAGGTAGAAGCTCGCAGCTTTGTGGTTGGAGCAGAAGACAGTGGAGATTGTTTTGCAGTGCTGCATTACCCTAGTTTCCTATACAAACAAAGTTCACTCTAATAGGCTCCAGAGTGTCTGAGGAATGATGTTATTATTGCAGTTATCACTTCTGAGCATTTGGTAGGTTTTTCAGCTGCACTAAGTGGAGGAATCCTATGTTCTTTGGGATTCTTCAGGAAGTAAGCATAGAAGACAAGGAATGGGCTTGTTTTCCTTGTGGTATATACTGTTGAGGCTTCATGAATAGGGTTCTATTATGTTATCATAGTAGGAATACTGTATGGGGCACTTTTATCAGGCAGAGGTAAAGAGGGCAGATGCAAAAAAGTCAGAGTCGAGGTCATGGGCTGCCAGGAAAGAGGCACAGATGGAAGAAAGCTCTGCTCAGGAAGTCAGAGCCCAGGTGGGATTGGTCTGAGTGCCTGCACCTATCCTCTTCCAGTGAATTCCTTGCAGTCAGCAAGATGAAACAGCCCTGGATTTCCAAAGACTGATTGATCTACCTTGTTTTAGTCACCTGTTCCAGCAGGGGTAAATCACAGCTGTCAAGACTGTCGAGATGAGAAGTCCAAACTGAGGGATGAGCTTTTAGCTTCTTTAAGTGGAGTAAACATGAACGCTGCTCCTAAGTATGAGTGAAGAAGCTCTTCAGAACATTCATCTGCACTGACCAAATGTTATCTACATATACATGTTTAGAGGAAAGAAACAATATCATGGGTATAAATTCTACACAAAGCTCTTGTCTGTTTACCAGCATTGTTTCTCTAGTTTCGTGTGTTCCACACATTAGCTGATCTTATTTAAGCCTGGGCCATGGTGTGGGTAGTCATGAAGTTGTATATGGTGAGAGATAAGTAGAGTTCTCTCATCTAGTGATGATATGAATCTTATTTATATGTATATGCTTTCTGCATATAAATTTCTTCTGTTTCATCTACAGAAATGAAAAGTACCCATCAGCCTTCTTAAATTCACTCGTACAGTGTCCTCAGACTTTCAATTCTTCACTCAAGCATTCCTCTACATCATATGGCTTTTCATGAGTACTTATTTATCTCTGTTCAAAATCAAGATCCCAGAACCGTGTGAGCACTGGCTACCATTCTGCCTTTGCTGCATCTTCCCTGCCTATGAAGCCATGAAGTAAAACTTCTTAGCCTACCAGTTTCTATTTTTACAGCATTCTCTTCACCAAGGAATCTTTGCCATACTGAATAACCAAAATGAACTAAAGAGATTTAAGTTGTATTTTGGTTTCATTTTAGTTTTTAAGCACATATCATAAAGATGAGACACAAATTTATTGGTTGCAAACACCATGATGGTATCTTTACTGTGATTATGTACCAAGCAGTACTGTACACAGCATATCCAGAAAGCCATATTTAAATGAAAGTAGTTTAGATCCCGTTTATGCTCATACTAGCTAGTATTTTGAAAAGGGGAAAACAGCTGGGTGCCAAATATAAGTAGGTTGCTCTGAAAGTAACGCCTCCTATATATTTCCAAGAAAACTACAACAGATACAAAGAGCACAATAATGCTATTTGATAGAGCAAATTCTCATCTACTAAACACTTTTTTTTCAACATAATCACCATTAACTACACATTTTTGCCAGAGATAAGCAAGAGCCTGCATGCTGCACTCGTAAAGATCTGCACATCTGGAACATGGCGTGTCTTTCACATTGCTGTCACTTCTTCTGCACGCCTCACCGTGCTCACATCTTTGGTCCCCATAAACCTTCAGCAAGGGTTGATGAATGTCAATGGGTGCAACTGCTTCTGCAAAGAGGAATACAGTTACACCCCTTTGCTTCATACCACTTTCATGTCAGATGCCATTTTGCCAGTTGGTGCATCTGCTGCTGGTCGTCACATGGCAACAACGTGCAATGGAATTCTGACAGGAAGATCCAGCTTCTACTGCCATACCACCAACATCCACCTCTGACACTGTGGGCCAACATAATAAAATAGGAGGCGTTACTTTTAGAGCAGCCCTCAACTCTAGTAGTAATTGAAAGGAAGATATAAGGACAGAAATAATTTGAGAGAATAAGATAATAAATAAAGAAAAAGAAATCACCCACCCACACCGTGGCTATATCTTCTGAAAGGAAAAAAAATAAAGCTTGCAGTGAACACAGAGCGGACATCTGCACAGAGTGCATTTATACCATTTGTCATTCTTCCTTTAGATTCTGCAGAACTGTTTTGCTCGCTTTGCACTAAATGAGTGCAAAATGAATTTGTGAAGCACGTGTTTTTTTTTCTAGTTTGTCGTATTCTTGATAACTTATTTTTTCATTTTGAGATATTCTGCAAGCTTGTTTTTTCTCTTCATTTGTGGTCTTTACTTGAAATGATTTTGATAATCATAAAACCATTGTTGGTCTTCATTGTAACAATTTTTTAGTGCCTTTGAAAGAGCACTGATCTTACTGTGCTGGTACAGATCTTGAAGTGGTACTTCTGTAATTCTTGTGATTTTTTTCAAAACCTGTGTTTGGTCTTGTCTCACTGGCCTGAAAGGCAGGACTATATATTATAGCACATCTTACATTGTTTTCTTTGTCTGGTGTTTCCTTGGTTGGCCAATTGCTGGGATGTGTCAGTACCAATAACAAGTTAGCACCAGCCTGAAATGTTTATTCAAGGAAAATTTCACAGACTTTTTGTTTGCTTGAGCACTGCAGGACTGAAACCTTTTAGGTTCAAGCAAAATAACACAAAGCTCTTCCAATCTATTAGGTATTTTTTAGATTAACTTGCCAACAGTTGACAAATTGGAGACAAGTTGACAAAGTATCATAATTTCGTAAAGAAAACGCTGCTCTCCTGCTCCTTATTTTCCAAATAACCTCTTTAGGGAGAAGTCCTGCAAAAATACCGAACATTAATATTTACTTTAAATGTAAATTCAAAAGAATTAGCTACGTTCCTTATGCCTATCCAAGGCTATGGCAAAAATTCCACTAACTTCAGTGCTGTGGAATGAAAGCTGAGAACATTACTACTGACTTAAGAGACAAGATACGTATTTGACACAAAAGGTAAAGATGACTGCTAAGTCACAATATGGTATCTGCTTTCATTTAAGACTTGAAAACTACTATAAAGTTTATTACCTGGCAGCGTGCTTGGCTTCAGAATGCTAGTGATAGGGTTGACTGTTCACAGGAGCATTGGTGCTGAAGGCAGCTGGTTTTGCACCACAGGACTCATATACAAACTTCTACAAAGCACTTCTGTGACTTTGCATGGTGCAAGGTGGGAAGATCATAGCCTCCTCTTCCCAAAATCCCTGCATGCTTTCTTGTGCGCCTTTGCTCGCTGGATCTAGGTAGAAACAAAGCTAACTCATTGTAACATTGAAAACTGTCTTCTGAGTCTTTCAGTTCTGGGCCTGAAATAATAAGACAGGAAGATCAATGTTAGTGTATTTTACAGTCTTTTTTTTAAATTATTTTTTTGCCTAAGAAATTGTAGAAAGTAACATCAAAGAACTGATTATGAGGATATTTTCCAAAGGGGGCCGTACTTCAGGATCAGAACAGCCGGTTCCTCCCAGCTTCTTATGACTGCTTTTTTTTGCAGGCAAGGAAAATGGAGGGCTCAAACAATCTGATGCAAATTACATGCAAGGAAAAATAACTATAGGAAAAATTAGAGGCTATGAAAGCATTTATGCATGCATAACTATGCATGCATATTTAATCACGTGACTTTTGTCATCTGCAGTCACTGAGAGCTTTATGCAGCCACGTATCACAGCGGTGACAACGTGACCTGCCATGAGTACTTCACCATCCCTCCGTGGAATACAGATATGCTGACTGCAGCTGAAGAGAAAATACCTAACCTGGTATAAATCCTGACTGTTCAAACTTGTTAGCATTTCATGATGAACTAATTTTCTACCGACAGAATAACTTTATGTTGAAGTTGCATAGCATTTTTCATCCATTACTAGAAGCTGTGAAGCTAGATTTACTGTATTTCTGGGCCATAGCCTGATTTGGGACATGATACCAGAGGTCATGGTGGGAATAAATTCACTGTCAGTCCTTCCAAATTGTCATCTGGTGCGATATAGGCATTTTATTTGATCCATTTGGTGGGTGTACAGTTCAGTGCCCCATTAACAATAGCACTAAGCCATCAACTGGTACAGAGAGATAGATATGAGACTGGGAGATTAAGAGAGGTAGATATAGATAGATCACATGAGGTCTTGGTGGAAGAGAAATTCAATGCCTCAGATTCACTAATCTCAGATGTCTCCTATCCAGATATCATCAAATGTGTTGCACGGTATCTTCCTGCAAGGACAACTGTCCACTGGGAATTTAAGATTAAGACCAGTAAACTGGCTTGGGTACTGATGAGATTTGAGTTTGCACCCAGGTGGCCACGAAGGATAAACAAGCAGCTCTCAGGGATGCATGTGGAATTCTGAATGCATGTGGAAAGCCATCTAATGGGCAGATGCTATTTTCATACTTTGCCTGGGACAAGTGGGGATACTTCAACGGTAGTGAAGCATTAAGACCTTATGAAAGAGATATTAAAAAAATAGTAAGTGGTCTCAGCATAGTTACGTATAGCTAAAATGAAATGACTTAGATGCTCTGTTTTTCATGTTGCAATTTTTAAAAAGCAGATAAATACCTTGTATATGCATTTGAACTATGAAAATGGGCAAACCCCAGCTACTACAGTAATTATTTAAGAGGCTAATGAAAAATCTGAAGGCTGCAAGCTTTCCACGGTATTTGAGAATACTTTAAAATATGGGCTAGTAGATTTAAGGCTTATGGGAAAAAAATCTAGTCATTTCCTAGGGGAGTGTCTGAATGCCATGTTTTACCTCAAAATGCGTATTTCCAATTCACTGCATCAACAATTGGGGAAAAAAAAAAAAGAAAAAAAAAAAGACATTTTGACAGATCCTTTGTGTTTGTGATATTTCCCACCCATGACTGACACAGCTATACTAGGCAATGTTGGAGTAGGACTGGATATGCTAGGAAAACTGTCTTTTTTTTTTTCTGATACAGATTATTTCATTCAAGGAAAGGTTTAAATTCTGCCAGGAGAAGAGTCTATAAACTCCATCTCCTGCAGAAGGACTTGCAAAATGCTGCTAAATTCTTTCATGTATAGTCCAGCCACTCAGTCTGGAGAGAAGTTGAAATAGTTCCCATAAGAGAGGTTGAAAGTATCCAAGATCATTTAGAGGGGATATTAATGATGATTTATCTAATATCAGCATCATTAGCAATTTCTTTTCTTATTATAATATGGTAAAAAGGAGATAAACAAACTATTTATGCTTGTTCTGTGTGGGTTTTTATGATTTTGGTGTCTTTACTGGAAGCAGATTGTTAGACAGACTTTGTTTTTCCCTGTGTGCTTCTTCTCTGATAATTTTCACGTACGTGTGCTTTTAAATAGCAAACAAGGGAAACTCCCTGTGCCTCTTTCTTGGATATATTTATGGTCACAGACTGAAAGAGCACAATAAAAAAAAAGTTTGCGTTTCTTGGAAGAAGAAGAAAACATTCTTCTTATGAAACTGACGTTCGTAATAACAAAGTGCTTTAATGCAACTATATATTAAAATCAGAGAGGGTAGGAGTATATTGAACTGAAGTTTGTGCTTAAGAGCTGATGGGCTCAGGCTTTCTCTGCAGCCAGCCCACAAGAACAGAAGATCCTGCAGGAACGAATGCTCGTCTGGTCCATGTGTAAGCCCCAGCTTTCCATTAGGAATCACAGCAAAGTTAGTAAGAATAAATAGAAAGGATATCCTTACATACTTAAGATTGAAGGAGAGAAAAAAAATCACTGGGCCTTGATCCATTAATTTTATTGCAAGGCATTCAAAGCTGGTGATAGCTAGGGTATAAACAGCTGGCTAGATTATCTAGATTAAACAAGCAGAGGAAGAGGATGGTGGATAAGAGATGATCTTCTGCAGTAGAGAGATAATCCTCATCACTAGAGATCAGTCTTTCTTCCACTGAAATCTAGCAGGATCCCTGAAGTTAATAGAAAAAGCAGACAGACACAGAGTTTCCTCACTAAGGATCACGGGAAATAATTATGTATGTTGTAACCTGTGAATGGCTATAGAGAGAAACCTTGGAAAATTCACTCTTGAATGACGATTACTATACTGAAAAATCCAGATATTTCCTAATCATTTTCCATTTTTTTTTTCAATGCCAGTAATAATGATTAAAAAAAAAACCAGATAATGAAGTGAATTTAAAGCAAAGCAAAATATTATGCTGAAAACTGGCATGTGTCAGTAAAAGAATTTTTGAAAACAATAGTCAAATTCATAGGATCAGTTTAATCTTAGAACGTAATTGAAATGCAATGAATTACAAGTAAGAAAAAAAAAAAAAAACAACCAAAAACTTCCCTGACTAATAATTCCCTGGCTAATTATATTTATGTAAGTTAGAAGTGTGTTCCACAACATGATGATGTTACAGTATTTTGTTATTAGTCTAGAAAAGTAAAAGGTTTCAGCCAGACTGTGAGAAAAATCATGGTGTTGGTTCCAGAGTTTTATTTTAAAGTTCAATAGTCCATCTCCCAGTTTTCTTTCAAGAGTATAACAAACACTATACTGCCAAAGAGATTTGATTCCTGCTGAAGACCTGAATTAGATCAAATTCTCTTAGTCTGCAGTGGTACATAATACAACTCAAAGCCAGGAGATTCCAATGAAGAACTAATTCTTCATTGGAAAAAAACTGGTTCTTTCCCTACTTAAGAGCAATCTACCCATTTATCTTTCTTACATTTCCCTGTTTGTACTACACTTAGGGTTTTTGCCTTGAACATTATATCCCTCCCAAATTCTCTGATCTCCAAATACAAGCTGTACATCTCACCTTTGGTCATGCACCCTTCTCTATGTCCCCAGCTGCTCCTCCTGTAGATTTTGAGGATTTCCTCATGCTAGCACCTCATACCCCTATTTTCCTTCCACCAGCTATCTCTTGAGACCTCCCTGCTATACTGGACAGTCCTGCAACAAACACATGGCATGGGTGGGAGTGAGAGGTGCTGGTCAAGTTCTCTTGTAATGGCTACTGCTCCATGGATATTGCAAAAATGACCAGAAGTTGATGCTATTTCTCCATATCCTAGCACATCACTTGTGCTTCCTGAGGTTGCCTGGTAAGACTGTGGTAAAACACAGCAGATGTGTCAGCCATTTCACAGAATTTATCCCAACGAGGGGATTTTCTTGTTGGCAAAACCATGTCATGATAGCTTTGTCTGCTAGGGGGTGACACTTGACTGGATAACCAGCAACAGCAGGCTGGGTGCCCGGCTGCCCAGGAGGACATGGGTGCCGATGCTCCAAATGATGTTTGTGTGATGAAGTGGGGAACCAAAAGGATAAAAGGTTCCAGCAGTGCTGGAGACGGCAATCTGCAGAGGCTGAGTACTCACTGCCATTGGAGAGGAAGTGGAGTGTGGTGCAACTCGGGGTGCTGAGAAGCTCGATTCTTGGTGTGACTTAGTATCAGGTCTTCTGCATTGAAGCTCCTGTCAGCAGTACATGATTGTGCTTTCCTTCAACAATCAAAAAAGCAAAAGGGGAATACAAGTGCAGAGCCTGGAGGCCTATATTTTTCAAGGCACGGGCAGAGAAGAAGTGGGGACGTAAGGCAGGGTGCAGAAATGCAGAAGGATTGTAGGTGACGCTGGTTTGAGCAGAAATGCCCTGTGGCTGTGGTATCTTCTGTCAGAGAGATGGGTTTTGGCACTGACTAGCAGGTCTCCTGCATGAGGCAATTCCTCTTTGCAAGGATACATCATAGACAAGTCTCACAGTTTAGGTTCTCTTGGAGGGGCAATCTAGATGTGTGGATAAGTCAATACGTTTTATTAATAATACTTTTTGTCTTTGCTTCTCTTTAAAGTTTGATTCCTCTGAAGCAGACATGAAAGGTTTTAAGAAAGGCAACTCACTCCACAGAGCTGCCCATTTTCATTTTGTGTAGCTGAAGGGTCTTGGATGCTCTGAGCTTCTGTTATGTGCCTCATTGTCAAGGTGTTGAAACATTTACAATACGTTTCAAATGGCAAATGTCACCTCTTCCTTCATTTCTTATTTCCTGCTTGGTCTGACCATTCAGACAGGCACAAGCAGAAAACTTGTTTGTTTTCTCTGTGTTTCTCTTCTCTCAAGACTTTTGCTGCTCAGGAATACATCACAAATCTTTCTGTTCTTTTTTTTTTTTTTTTAATTTTATTTTCCACAAGCAGAGCTCAAAGCATCATTAACTGCTCTTTAGGTTTTAAAATGTCTTGACTGTCTTAATTTTAATGGGAGTTGAGGGTTTTATTAAAATCAGAAACCCATGCCTTGAACTGAGCTAGTGTGAATCAGATTTTTTTTAAAAAGGACGAAATATACTTTTACGGCATAAGAAGATAAGATTTCAAAAATCCCAGGAAACAGCAGTTCTTTTTTTTTTTTTGAAAGCCTAAGAGTCCTACCAATCCAAACGGCCACCCTCAACTTAACATGATGCCCATCTGAACATTCGTTCTACCTACTGTTAAAATTAACATCTGAAGACTGTTAATTCCGAATGATAAATGGTTAGATAAACAGATTTTTCCCCATTAATTTGTTTCTGTTATATGTAACACTTTTTACATAGGTTAATTTCTCCTGTTATTTTTGAAGGCTATTATCCAAACTGGAAAAAAATTGTGAGGGGAAAAATGCAAAAAATATGAAGGAATTGGCAACACATAGGAAAAAAAAAAAAGGGATCTATAACTTGAAAGAACCATATAACTCTTAAAGTGATCCAGAGGTTTACCTAAAGATGCTGAGCCCTCCCCTCCTGTCCTGTTTATATGGCTATATCTAGGCCAAAACAGTGCAACATCACTATTATCATTCTTTCACAAGGCAGCTCACATTTTCCCAGGAATCAAAAAGGAAGTCACATAGGATGAAAAAGGTGGAAAAACATAAGCTTTTAATGTCTTTCTTCAGATATGGTTGTGGCACATGCCTCTTCCCGTGTAGCCCTGAGCCTGTCAGCAGTATGGGTTGAGCAACCCTGCGCTGCTCATTTGGGGCAGGGACAGGTTTGCCCATTGGCATGCTGTGAAATCGCTGGCTCCCAGACTGCGGCCCTCTCTGCTGCAAGCCAGCACCTGCCTGGATCTCCCCGGTGTGCCCAAGAGTTTGGCAGGTCAGACATCGTGTACCTGGCCGTGAGAGCATCTAAGTGCTGTGTGTCTGTCCCAAAAGTCAGGAGTACATCTGGCACTGAGGAACACTGGTGCACAAATGTGCCCAGCACGGCCTGTGCAATCCGGGCATCTGTAAATTATAGGCTCTTCTCCAAAGCTGTCCTTCTGCAGAGATTTCCAGGTGGGAAAAAAAAAATTACAAACCACTGAGGAAACTCAGAGATCCGGTGGCGTTGATAAGATTGCCTTCTCTCAGCTTCTAAAAAAGCTGTGAACTGAGGTGCCCCAAACCTCAACTACAGCTTTTGTTTTGTAATAGGATGCAGAGCGTTTTCAATGGCAATATTAAGGAAAGCTTTATCAAATGCGTGGTGTCAAAGGCTGGTTGTTCATTTTCAGATAGCGAGCAGGCCTGTCTTCAAGTACCATTGATTTTTGTGGAACCTGTCAACTGCTTGGGGCAGCCTGAGCTTTTGGTACCTTGTTGAATCATCGACATTGGTAACAAATCTTTACTTGTCTCTGTTGTAAGCCGGGTTATGAAAAAGGTGTATATGAAGTATTTGACACTGTGATGGCAACAACTTAAAAACACACACTTTTCCTGAGAGCCAGACCTGCCTTTAGACTCGATGGAAACTGGCTGCAATAATGCTCATACACGTTTTTTCAGGCTTCTCTCGTCAGGAGAGAGATCTGCATTACTGGAAGAAGTAAAGAAGGCTTCTTGTCGAGATGCAGGGTTTCCTGCAAGATACAGGCAGTAAGTTCTGTGCTCTTCGGGCTACCTGTTGCTGCTGTTTGTGGACTATTCTGTGCGCGGGAGGCAGGGACGGGGCAGAGCGGGACAACGAGGAGCTGGGGGGTGCAGAGAGGCACCTTCACCTCTGCCGTGGGCTCACGGTTTGCCTTCGGAGCGCTTTTATGGAGTGCGGCGACTTCGGCGAAACTTTCCCGCAAGTCTGTCGCTCGGGGCAGCCCGAGGTGCCGGGGTGAAAGTGAATCCCGCACACGGGGAAACCCCGCTCAGGGGGCGCGTTTCCTCCAGAAAGCCCCGGTTTTGGGCCACGGGGAAGGAGGCCGTCCGGCTGGCGACGAAGGACGGCCCGAAGGATGGAACGGGAGAGGAGGAGGAGGAGGAGAGAGGCGAGGGGAGCGATCGGCGCGGAGGGGCCGGCCGGGGGGGGCCCGCCGCCGCCTGCCGGCTGTGGGCGGGCCGTCGCCGCCTTCGGGCCGCCGCCGGGGCGGGCCGGGCCGGGCCGGGGGATGGCGGGGGGAGGAGGAGGAGGAGAAGGAAGGGGGGAGCGGGGGTGTCATGCCGAGAGCGCGCCTCGCAGCCCGGCAGGCCGCGGCCCGACCCGCAGCCCCGGGCGCAGCCCGCAGCCCGCCGTCAGCGCCCCGCCATCCGCTCCCCGGCCGGAGCGAGTCCGGCCCGAGGGACGGGGAGGGCAGAGCCCGCCGGCTGCGAGGGGAGGGAGGGCGAAAGTTCGGCGGAGGGAGCGGGGATCGTTAGGAGGTATCCCCAGAGAGCCTTGCCCCGCTCCGGGCCGGAGGGCAGCGCGCGGCGGAGGGGCGGCGGGCGCGGCGAGGCACCGCGCGAGTCGGGGAGCGGCGGGACGGACAACTTTTCCGACACGTGAGTACCGCGCGCCGCGCCTCCAGGTCCTTCCCGGCTGCCGGGCGCGGGACGGAGCGGGAGGTCGTCCCGGAACGCCGGGCGCGGGGCGGCGGGGGCCGCTCGTCTCTTTCTCCTTCCCTCCTTTCGCCCCGCTCTTCTCGTCGAACCAAATCAGAAATGTCAGTCGGTGCGAGTGAGTCAGAAGGGATCGGGTTACAAGACCGCCGCGGCCGATGTCGGATCGGCGCGCACGCACGGGCAGGGCAGGACGGGACCGCGGCGCGCCGCCCCGGCTCGGCTCGCGGCGTGCCCCGCCGGCCCTGCGTGGGGAGCGCGGCCCGCTCGGGCTTGGCGGCGGCAGGTACGTACCGGCGGGGCGAGAAGTTCTTTGTTCGCGGCCGCTCCGTCCCGCGCTCGGAGCACCGGGCTGGCCGGAGCCGCCGCCGACCCCAACATGGCCCCGAGTCGGATTGCGGGCGTTCCCCGGCTCGGAGGAGGCCGGCCGCAAACTTTGCGGGGGAGCGGCGCGGAAGGCGCTGTCAGGCGGGAGGGGCGGGCGGCCGCCGTTCGCTGCGGGGCAGGGAAAGTTGCGTGCCGGCCGGGCGGCGGCGTAAAGCCTTTGTGTGAGGGGGAGCGCGGGGCCGCGCCGCCGTTCTCGGTTCGGCCGGGCCGGGGGAGCCGCGGGACCGAGAACGGAGAACCGAGAACGGCGGCGCGGCCCCGCAGCACGTGGCGCCCACTCCCAAAGCCCCGCGCCGCCTGAAAAGATAGAAAGAACCCCCTCCCCCTCCTCCCGCTCCCCCCGCCACCCCGATCTGTTCTTACTACTACTACTACTATTTTCTTTTCAACCCCTTTTGAACGCGATCCTCCGGTGCCCGTGGCCTCCTGCCAGTCTGAGTGCGGATATATATATATACACATATATATATGCGTTTTCCAGCTCGAGTTCGCGCTGACGGACCGTGCGGATGGCAGCGCCCGTAGCCGCAGGTAGGCGAGCTGCCCTGCCCCGCACGAAGGTCCCGCCGCGAGCGCTGCCCTCCCCACCTGACTCCCAGAGCTCAATAAACCTCCTTTGTAAGCCTCAGCCTGCAGACTTGGTGTCTTTTGTGCGTCCTCCAGAAGCGGGATTTCTCCGAGACCTTTGAGACAACGTGGCTAGTTGAATGAACGCGTTTGTGAAAGGGCGCTCTGCCTCCGAGCGGGGTGTGAGGACCTGTTTTGGAGGCATTTTCAGGCAGCTGAACGACGGGAAATCGCCAAGTGGTGCTGCGAGGTTGTTTTGAATGGAGTGATTACGGATTGAAATCTGCCAGAACTGGCCTGAAGTAGTTTGAGTATTTGTGCGTTTGCTTTGTAATTTGGGAAGGTGCCTCACTGATTGATTCCCATAATTATTTCATTTAGGCTCTTTATTAAAAATTAATAGTGATCTGACACTTTCTTAATTACATGTGTCACCGTTATTTTGAAGGAAGACAAATGCTGTGTTTCAAAAGTGAAGTAGCCTTAACGTGTAGGGATTGCCGTGACCGCAGCGCAGTATTTCAGAGGAAACGTATATTCAGAGTAGTAGTGAATGAGCGTAGCAATGTAAACTGTAAGCAGCCTCCTGAGAGCTTGTTTATATAATGAAGCTTTGGGTTTAACGAGCTCCTGTGTAAATACTTTTCAGTTTGGTGTATAGCCCAATTTTAAAATAGTAACTGTGAGAAAAGGCTACGGTGAGGGGGAGGATTATTTCTTTTAAAAGCAGGATTATGTGATTCTGAATGAGTAAGAAGTATGCTCCCTTAGCGTATGTATATTCTTTCTCTGTTAGGAAGTGGAAGTAAAATTATGGCTTAAGGTGCTCTAATGTCTGCACAGTTGCGTTCAGATAACTGCACACGTTTTTCAGTATGACGTGCTGTTTTCCTCAGCATTTCCGTGGAAGTGCTACAAAACAAAGACATCACCTGCGTTTTCCTGCTTAAGTGGAGTAATGCTTTTGACTTGAGAATGAGTGCGGTGGCCAGGACGGCGCTTACTGTTGTAAGCAACCTGCAGTTGTGAAAGGTACATCGTGTGTTTTCAGGTGCAAAAACATTTTGCAGCTGAGAAATTATTGGTTTGTATAAATCATCTCTGATTTGGAACCGTTGCTAGAGAAACCAAATTATTAAAGTTTTCAGATATCGTTATGATTTGCACATCTTGCAGATGGCTTATTTTTTTCCTTTTTCTTCTTTATTTTATTTTATTTTTTTTTAACAGGACAATTGTATGCACTTGATGCTGAGCCTTAAAAGTTTAAGTAGTTTCAGTCACACTTCCTGCCTCATTTTTGGAAAGGCTATTTCATTACCTGTGCTCTGTAGCGTGTTTGAATTCCATCCCATACAATTCAAGCAAGGAATGGCACTTTTTTTTTTTGTGTTGTTTTGCAGACTGTTAGTGAAAAGTTCGTCATCCTTGCCAGATAAATAAGGAATCTGATGCTTATTAGAGCAGGATTTATTTGGAGTTATGGAAGGAAACAGTTTAATGATCAGCGTTGCATGCACTCAACTATATGGAGACAGTAATGTACAAAGAAGCAGCAGACTTAAAGGAAGAGTGAATCAATGAGTCATGAAATCCTCAGGAAAACCTTAGTAATGGAATGTTAATGCTTTTAGACTATAGTAGATTATCTTAAAAGTCAGACTTTTCTTCTTTATGCAATTGTTGTAAATCCCTAGCTGAAGAATACTTTGAAGAAGGCTTAAGTTTTTCTGGCACTCATTTTCTGTAGTCATTCTGATTGTTTTGGAAGATTCAAGAAATTTTCTGCCAACTTGCAGTGAGGCAATTAAAATGCTAAAATGGCTACAGAGGAAGCTTTTTATTCAACGAAAGGTTCAGCTGTAATAATGATTTCAAGTCGTCTTTTAAGCGTAGGTTTTATAGACATCCTCCCTTCAGGTTTTGTCGTTTTTATAAGGCAATTGATTTGTTATACTTTAATATCAAATAAAATGAGACAGAATAAACAAAAATAGGGCATGGGTGCTGCTGCAAACTTTTCAAGTTCTCTCAGTGTATTTTTCATCTGTACTTTTATTTGATAGGTCTGTGAAATAGAGCTGTAGACTGGCAAAGACTTTAAATGAAATTTCACACTTTGATGATTTTTTTTTAACTTTGATATATTGACAGCAAAAGGAGCTGCAAAGCTTTTATATAACTTGAGCAGTAACGCCAAGCAGCAGTCAAACGTCTCTATGCATTTGTGTTTAACTGCAGAAGAAAAACATGTCCATGGGCAGTAGAGGGTTCTTATCAACTCCCTAATCCCAGATCCCAGCAAACCTTGAGGGCATGCCTCAGATCTTGCTGAAATCATTGTAGACTCTCACAGTTCGCAGATTAAATATGCTATGTGTTCCTGGCTCCAACAACAGTTTTATGAGCTCACTAAGCTTCCTGTTTTAAGATCCTTTTCTGAAGTTTTTAGGAGCTGCTAAAGGCGATGCTGTCTAGGGCAAGTGGTACTTGTTAATTTAGAGACACCTCAGATATTTCACTCTGTCTGTAAAAATAGCCAGAATTACTGTTTTCAAATTGGAAGGTGAGCTGCACTGAAAAAAGGGACCCTTTAAAGTGTGATTCTGTTGTTTTAATGTGTTTGTCGGTACACAAGGTTACAAAAGTTTATGTGAGGCTTGATTTGTTTTATGGGGGCTTCACTTCGACCAGGCTCTTTAAAATGAGACTTTTCCAGTTGTAATTCTAAGCACAATATAGCTTTTAGTGCACAATTTCTGAGCCTCTTTTAACCAATTGTATTTGTAGCAGCTCATTAAACATACCTTTGAAGTTCTCATTCTCCTTTAAGTGTCACAGAAGGGAAAATGTGTCCTGCCAGTGGTGAATTTCAGGGAATCAGGCAGTGATCCCCAGAATTTGTTGGCCCTTAAGAACGGGTGGCATTGCACTTCAGCTTCCAGGTCTTGCCTTGTTTTCTAGCTGTTAAAGAGTTAACTCTTCTATTTTATTCGCTGTAATCATGTTTATGTATTTGGTGTAATAGTTTTAATTAAAAAGGAAAGTACTTATTGTCCAACAACATGTGTCATGTTTTTCCCAAGAGAACTTGAGCCAATTTTATGCTTAAAGGTTATTCAGTGAATGAAATTTTGAAAGCCCATTTGTCAAGGTGCTGCACGGTTTCTGTTAGTTTTCAACCCCCAAATTCATTGTCTGCATGGCCCAGTCATTAGTCATCAGTGTATTAGTGCTGCCTTCAGGCAATGCTGCCCAGTACTTCTTCACACCATTGCTGCTCTAAAAGTGTGCTCCGCCGACTTGTAGAATTACCGCTCTGATTTCCGCTTGGCTGGGTTTGAGGTAAGTCCCCTCCCTACCTTCCAGCTCACTCTAATCCCTGCTTTCTTTTAAGGCCGCTTTCTGCAGAGGTTTAGGGGAGAACTTTCTTAAGGATCGCACTGGCACCGTACTGTGGTTTTGTACGTATAAATTAATTGAACCTGCACTACCTTGGAAGTGTATTAAATCAGCTGCCGATCTGAAGAGTTGATTTGCTTTGTCTCTTTTTGAGATCGAAACAAGAAACGAGACAGTGTGCAGATCTTTTAAAAGCACCTGCAGTATCATTTAGATTGCAGCGAAGGACGAGCTAATTGGGAAAGAACACATTTGTCTCCAAATAGTTGCCGAGTGTCAAAACTGATAAGATCAGAATCCACTGATAACCAAAGATCTAATGGAATAATTTGTTAGCTGAATTGGCCACTGTTATGTCAGTTATCTTCCTGCACTGATTACCTAGACCAGTAATCCCTTTTTACAGTGATGCTCAGATCGCTGCTGCCTATTTTTGGTGTCTGATATTTAGGTTAGGACCCAGCTACTTCGTTGGTGGTGTGGAGCTGAACCTCCTCCCCACAGCAGTGTTTGCTGCTTGGGATGAAATTCATTTTCTATACGAATCTGTTAACATCAAGAAAATCAACTGCATGTGAAGCGTGCTTCATCCAGCTGCTGAGGGAACGAAGCCTTCGTTAAATAAGATATGTGAACACCTGAACAGTCAGAAACACAGATCAAGTTAGCGTCACTGCTGTGCAGCGTCTGCTGTTCTGAACTGCCTGTAATTAAAATGAAATCCTAGCACTACCAATCCTTAACTAACGGGTCGTGTGGTTTTGTTTGCCTTTTCAATTCACGGTGAATGTTTTTGCCTGGACAGTGAGACAGCTGTATAATTCTGCAATTATCTGCTTGGAGCATGGAGGGTGTATTGCAGAGGAATTCACACTGCAGCAGGTCAGAGTTGCCCTGTTGTATTTTGTCAAGTTTCCAAAACTTGAAGGAATCACGATGCAGTTTTACTCCTACTATGAGACAGGTGTAAAACCTAAAATAAACTATAAAGACTGAAGATAATGTTTTATAAAGTACTTTTCATGCTTGAAGTTCTTCTTGGCTATGGTGAGCTTTCCTCTCTCTCGTTAAAACATCTGTCTTGGGTTAGAATGTGAAATTCTGGATTGAGGTATCCCATAAGTTGAAAGTAAGCTAAGTAGATAAATACTATTCCAGGAATGGGAGTGGTGATTGAAACATTGGACTTTCATCAACGTTCT